CCCGGGCTGCGGCGCCTCGGGGCCGCCGGGCCTCCTGCCGTGTTCCTCCGTCGCCCGGGCTACGGCCGCCGGGCCGCGGCATGACGCTGTACTGGCGTCACCCTGCCGGGCGGCTGTGCCCTCATGTAGCGCTGTACTGGCATCACCTTGTCAGGCCACTGTGCCTTGTGTCACGCGGTACTGGCATCACCCTGCTGGGCTGCTGTGCCCTGTGTCACGCTGTACCGGCGTTACCTTGCTGGGCTGCTGTGCCCAGGTGTCACACTGTAGTGGCGTCACCTCACCAGGCTGCTGTGCCTCCATTGTCATGTTGTACTGGCGCCACCTTGCCAGGTTGCTGTGTCCCCGTGTCATACTGTACCGGTGTCACCTTGCTGGGCCGCTGGGCCCCCCTGTAATGCTGTACCGGCGTCACCACACCAGGCTGCTGTGCCGCCCTGTAACACTGTACTGGTGTCACCTCACCAGGCTGCTCTGCCGCCCTGTAACACTGTACTGGTGTCTCCTCACCAGGCTGCTGTGCCGCTCTGTAATGCTGTACCGGTGTCACCTCGCCAGGCTGCTGGGCCCCCGTGTCACACTGTACTGGTGTCACTCCACCGGGCTGCTGTGCCCCTCTGTTCATGCTGTACCAACATCACCTTGCCAGGCTGCTGGGCCCCCGTGTCACGCTGTACCGGTGTCACTCCGCCGAGCTGCAGCCCCTCCGTTTTTCGTGCGCCCGCCCCCAACCGTCCCACACAGCTGTTACCCAGCCGGGCGGCTGTGCCGGCGTCCGCTCCGCACGGCGCTGCCCCTCCGTGCCCCTGCAGCCGGTCCCTGCCGTGCCCGCGCCGCAGGGAGCCAGCGCAGCCGGAGAGGGGGGAGTCGAGTCCCAGCACGCTTTTAATGCCGGAAGGATGATGCTTATCGTCTTCGAGATGCGCCTTATTTTATTTTATTTTATTTTTTGCCTTGCCAATTTATCCTTCCTCGGCGGCAGACGTATTAATAACTGTTTTTCTTTCCTCTTTGCCTCGAAACAGGCTGCGCGCTCGCTCGCTTCTCCTTCGGCCGGATCACGACCCGCTCCCACGGCTAAGGGCCAACGGTGGCTTTATGCGGGAAGGGGCACCGACTCCTCACGTGCGGAGGGAGGCTCACTGCAAAACCCCCCAGACAAGAATACCCCCGAACCAATGTTTTTTGCTCTTCTCCTCAAAACTTTCAGCCATGCATGCTGCTAGTTATTTTTTCTGATGCAAATAGCCTTTGGCCACGTCTTGAGTTTGGAAAAATTATAGTAGTGGTGGATTTTCTGTACTGAAATACAGAGGTGTTTTTTTTTCTGTCTTTTGGCTCAATGTCAAAGCCCAAATGGCATTATTTTAACAGGCTGTTTAATTTCATTTCTGAGGGTTTGTTTTGTATGTATAATCAGGTATTTTTGTACCTAATTCGGTAATTAATCTCCTGTGAGCTTTCAGTCTGTATGTGATTAAATTACATATATTAATTTAGCTTTTGCTAAAATAAACAGTGTGGTTAAAGCGTTTTAATTATACAAAATAAAAACTAAGCCACAAACGGCTTCTTCAAGATATGCATGTGATCACGTAATTCTTACAAGTTTTACTTAGCTGGTTCATAGATAACAAACTTCTGCAACTGATGTAGCACTGATAAGTCTTTACTTTGAATTCGCGAGCATTTCACAGAAGAAATAACCTATAGCTCATTTAGCATGGCCACATTACCTCTTGCTGCAAATATTCTGGCCCCAAAGGCTACTGTTGCTACCCCAAAAGACTAATAAACGAATGATTGTACAGTTCTACTTTGAGGGGGTTTCCTCCAGCCCTTTGCAAGGTTTCGTTAAACTTGGAAACCAGCTGGACTAAAACAGATACTAATTCCCATGCTTAGAGCGGCTGCGGAAATGGCATATCGTATCGATGGTGATTTCCAGTACCCGGGTGTCAGCGCAGCGGCTTGTAAAAGGCTGTGACACACAGTAGCGGCAAAGAACGGGGAAGGAAGAACGCAGCCTTCTATTTCCAATTTCTTTCTAAACATTTCTCATTTTAATAATACAGGAAAAGCTTCTCTGTCAGATGGGGGCATCTCCCACATTTCTAGTAGCCACGCACCTGTAAATGTTTCATTCGTCCTTGTCCGGGTTGGTCCCAGCTGCAGCAAAGCCTGACCGGACCGTTCAGTCTGAATTAGCCTTTCTCACGCGTGAAAATGATTTTTCTCACGCGTGAAAATGATTTAAGCCCGCGTCAGAGCTGAGGGACAAAGACGGGATGCTGCTGGGAAAGGGATGTCAGCGACGTCCGGGTGCTCTGCGCCCGGCCGCAGCACCCCGGCTCTGCTGCTGTCAGCTCTTTACTTCCACATCTCCGCTAAACTCGTGTACTCCGGTGCCACAAACAAGCCGTTTTAGTGACTCCTCTACTTGTGTCCGAAAGACACCTAAAAAAAAAAAAAATCCGACTTTCATTTCATGCTTCTGATGAGGTCCTTTTCCAGTTGACAGCAATTTTTTCTCCAACGATAGTTGGTGTTATTTGCGAGTTGGGATGTCTGGTAACAGCTGTTCGTTCCATACGTATTTTCCAGTGATTAAAGCTATATGCTCTAAAAATAACTTCAAGGCCTCTCCTCCCCACAAAACACGGGCTTACAGCAGGTTTGTGACTGCCATTGCAGTCTGAAGAATTTGGGGGCTGGATAACTTACTGCTAGTCCCTGAAATATTTGCTTCCGCTTCTGAATCACGTGTCCTAGTTTAAAGTCTACTTTTGCTCTTGGATGCAGAAGTGGTGTTTTCTGTGTCTGTGTTCCAACCTGAAACCAATACCTGTCCCTTCCCAACCTAGCCACGAACCAGCCTCTGCGAAGCTGTGGATGAAGGCAGCAGAAAGTGTATTAAAATGTGCAAATTAAGCTTCTCATTTACAGGCTCTGTCTCAGAGCTTCCCCTGCGCAGCATTTGGGAAGTAGCGTTTCTATCTGTGTCCTCCTGGGATCGTGGAGGCGGGATTTGCAGGAGGGAAAAATTTAAGAAAAGATAAAATTAGGTCGTTAATCCTGTAAGCCGGGGCCAGGCAAAGTTTCATGGGCAGTATGAAAGACTTCTTTTTTCCCCCTTCTCAAGCTAGAGGTCAAACATCCTTGCAGGAGCCTCCATGAAGCAGCAGATATTGCTCTCCAGGAGGCCAGATGCTGCGGAGCCGCTGGTGGGCGAAACCTTTCCCTCCAAGGCGAAGCGCAAAGCCGCAGGGGCCGGGGGGCTGCGCGCCGTGGCCGCTCTCAGAGGCATCGCCCTGCTGCCTTAGCCGATGGGCACAAAGGCAATACAGGAAAAGTCTCCAGTGCCCCTCAGCATTTTCGTTTCCAGAACGTCTTTGCCACGGTTAGACCACGCTTTGAGGATAAGGACAAAAGTCCACCTGCCTTAATGATTTATTGCTATCGTTAGTGAAGCTCTTACGGCAGGATCATCTCAGGGGTTTTATTGAAGAAAAGCTTTTAATCAATATGCAACAACGTCTGAGTCAAACACATCCAAAAAGCTTGCTCATGAGCTTTCCCCAGCAACTGCTTGCCTATTGACAACTTGCATTTCCACTTACCATATGAGTAGGGACAAGGAGAGGCAGCTTTGAAGAGGGAGATGTTTCTCTGGTTCCGGATGAAGGGAGAGACTGTGTGGTTGAAAACCTGTTAATCCAGGTTGTCTGTCGAATTAACTCGAGGTTGGCCGGGAGCTGGACTGAGCTGGTACCTTAACTCCTGCGCGGACACTGGGAGTCGAAGCATCTCATTCAGTTTGGCTTGCTTCCTTTTGAAAGCCCACTGGGATAAATTGCATTGTGTGCTCCCAGGCGAAGCAATTCGATTTAATTGTCCCGAATCGTGTCGTGTGGGCAAGTGCTAGTTCATTTTGGTACTGGAAAGAACTAGCCTGTAGTTTGAGCTGCTGGGCTCTCTCATGATTTGGGAATTAAGAAATAAATTAATGTCCACCTCAGGACATTCATGTACCTGCAAGTGCATGAATGGCAAACCTCCCTTTTTATTTATCTGATTCTACGGAGGTTCATTTAATCAGAAATGCCTTTGTGTTGCATGGCCTGAGAATATATTTTCCAGGAAGTTTTAAGTAGCACATTAACTCTATCAAATTGCATAGTGATGTCAAGACAAGTAGCTTTTTTTGGTCTCTTGGCACATTCCTACATACAATTGCCACTCAATTACCGCCAGTCGCTTAATCAAGGACCTGTTTTCATTCAGAAAGCCTGTTGCTGAGAGCTTTCTTCTTTCTGTTTGCCTTGTGATGGCAATGGCTTGTGGTAGACCGGTCCTGTTAATGAGTGGCACTTGATATGGATAGCACAACTCTTTTGCCCTTTAGATGCGTGAATTCACAACGTTGCCTTTGTGGCTTAGGGGCTAGCTCCAGTCTTAGGCCGTCTGGATTTTACTTTTACTTTCCAGTGCTCTCACTTAACAGTTTTGAAAACGGAGGGTTTTTTTTTCCTGTGGCCGCAGTGGAAACACTAACCGTGAGCCCTGGAAGCATTTTCAGTGGCTGCTTGTTTTCCGTCAGCTTCTCTGCCTCTATCCTTTTCTTCACGGGGATTATTTTTAGATAAATCCCGCTCTCTGCTACTATCAAAACCACGAGGATCAAACAAGAAATGTCTTGCTTCCAGATCTTCACTGAGTCCATTACAACACCCTCTCCTTTCCTTTGAGGAGAAAAAAAAAAGTCCCTTAACCATAGTCCCTTAAGCCGTTGCTTTGAGACGAGCTGTATTTAGGAACGGGGCTCACCCGTATTCTGCTTGGTGGCAGCGGTGTAAGCGCAAACACAGTTACTTAACGCTGGACACAGCTAAACCGGAGCGCGTTCCCCACCTGTCAGGAAGACGACTACACTGCGAGAAATAAATGCTGTTTTCAAGCCTCCGTTAGAAACGGGGGTAAGAATTAAAAGCTCTTCGAAGACTTGTGCCCAGTCACCGGCCGCCTCACTGGCTGCTAATGCACCGAAAGGGAATTACGTAGCCTTTGGAAAGCGCTTTCCCATCACGTGTGCTGTCTGCTTTCATGTGCACTGAATAAGGGTGGGAAATCTAAATAAGCTGGGAGAGCTGTCTTTCCCGGCGGACCTTTCCGCTGGGGAAGCCCCAAGGCGCCGCATGCTTTGCTGCAGCCGGCCGGGGGGACGACGGCGTCGAGCTGCAGGACGACGAGATGGGAACGATGTGGCCTCCAGGTAGCTTAACCAGACGGGCGCTGAAAAGGGAGCTGGAGCCGGGAAAACATAATTTATTTCTCATTCTCTACGCCGTGTAACTGAGACGGAGCTTTTTTTAAAAAATCCGACGTTCAGCAACCGTAAACTAGAGAATTTTGCTTGGGTCGTTTCCTGCAACAGCATTTACACGTGCCTAACGCAGCGAGGCCCCAGGACAGCACCTAAAACATTGGTACGGCAGTAGTCGGGGCAGAGATTCATCTTTCTTTGGTACGTACTAGTATAGCTCCTCCTTTCAAACAGGGGCATCTGACTGTCTCTGGGGCACATACCGCCACTGCAGTACAAATAATAACGTGTTACAAGGAAATAATCCCTTCTGCAGGATGCTGATTGCCCACTAGATGGTACTAAGGGAGCTCACAAAAAAAAAAAAAAACAAAAAAAACAACCCTCTGCAGTCGCTCATTAAACTGCCTGCTGTCAATAGTATTTTCAGGCTCTGTGTGTCAGTAAAGAAACCCTTGGCTTTTCCATTTTTTGATCCACACCCAGCTTTATAAATAGGTGTTTCGTCCCATTCAATGTCAGGCACCATTAGTTATTTCAGCTTGGGAAATGGTGTGATGCAGATGAAAATAACCAGCCTGGAGGCACAGCGAACGTGCGAGTCTAGACTGCCGCTGTCTCTGCTTTAGACACATTCAACCCCCATACCGAAAACGGCCCCGTTCCTAACATTTTTGTGTTGTATCATTACCGGAGTCGGCTGTCACAGCTCCTGGAGGCTTCGAGGTGCCCAGAGGACACACACTGAGCACAAGAGGCCCTTCCAACCTCTTGGCAATGGCACCTTATGGGCTTCCCAGAAAAGGGGAGGGGGGCCGGAGTCCTGCCGCCCCCTCCCCAGCTCTCTTCTTCCTCTGCAAAGTTCTTAAAAAAAAAAAAAAAAGACACAAAGTGCTAGTTTGGATATTAAGATTAATATATTTAATCTTTCTTGTTTGTAAAACAAGACATAAATTTGTGTATATATATATATAATTTATATATTTTTATTTATATATACTATATACAGACAATAAAAAAATTTTCCTCTGTATTAGACTGAGAGATTTAAGGAGGAACGATATAGGCATAACGGGGAGCTCAAGGAAACTCATAGTTTCTTAATAGATAATTCACGGGAAAAGAAAAACACGGCTCCCTGTCGGCCTTCAGCATTATAACAGGCTTTGCCCACCATGGACTGAAATCCGAATTGGCTCTTCCACTGTATATTTGCTACATGGTTCTTGAAAGCAGGAGGCAAGAGGGTGCTGTGCCCACATAGCAAGATCCTCTCGGCCTCGCTGACAGCAACGGCCAAAGTCCGGGACAGCCACAGGCCAGGGTACGTTATTGCACTCAGTAGAGGATGCGCATGTTAAAAGCACATTGTGCATTTCCATAACTCTTATGGAAGAACAAGAGATTTCAAATGTGCGTATTCTATAAAAAATAACAGAGATGGGAGGTGACTGATCGTATGGCGATCCCTGATCAGCTCCATGCGCTCAACCAGCGATGGGGCAAGCCAGCTGAGCGTGATAACCCTTCTCCTTCCTGATATCTGGCCCCATGAGGCGAATCCCATGACCTCCCTTTTGGATAAGGGTGCGTTGGGGAGCGACGCAGGGATCCTTGCGGGGCCTGCTCTCCCCATGCGTGGGTGAAGTGTGGTGGGTGGCACAGTACGGGCTGAATGCGTAACCTTGCATTTTCTCCTCGCTCTGTTTTGGAGGGTGGGTAAGTGCCCTGAAGCACCAGTTAAGGCGATCTGATTCATTAGGTCTAGAAGTTAGACTGGGAGGAGGAGGGGAAGCGCAGGGTATGAAGGAAAACAATTAGGAATCATTTTACCATTCGTCTGAAAGTAAAACCAATACCAAAACCAACCCCTCCCCCCCAAAAACCTCCAAACGAACATCCATGGCATAGTACTAAATAACCTTCTCATGGCAGTCAGTCCAGCAGAGCCAGAAGAAGGACCCCAGCCCCTCGCACCGAGGGCAGGCAGCGCTGCTCGGCTCAGGAGCAAGCCGTGGCTCCCAGACCAACCTGAGCTGGCCTTCCTCTCTAAGGGGCATTGCAAAAAGAAATAGGAGAGGGCAAGCCTTTGAGAAACGGACCCGACCTCTGGAGATTGGTGTGAAAGAGGTCTCCTCTTAGCTGCTAGCCCAGCTTGTGGCTTTGCAATGATCACAGAGCAATCAGGGTGCCTGCAGGCTCTCTAGCGGGGATACCGCCACCCAGCAGAGGAAGGGGAAGGGCTCCCTACTCGGACGCATTAGGCTGTCACCTTTTGCACAAGTCAGTGCCTGTGATCAGGACTAGGGCACCGGTGCCTTGGCTGTGGCAGCAGAGCCTGCTAGGGCTCTGTCCCAGCATCACGGCACCCTCCCCAGGCTAGGACTACTTCCCAAGCCCTAGCTTAGCAGCAGGGCTTGCACCTCAGAGATGCCCTCTGCTGCTAGTTATGTTGCATTTGTGGGCCAGGGAGACCCTGGAGGCAGAAGAGCTGTTTACGTGGCAAGACACTGGTTTGGCTCCAGACTAGACCACTACCCAAGTGAAGCCAGGAGATCTCAGCTTAGTTCCTGCTACCTCACTGGCCTGGCACACTGTGACAACGGGAGACAGTGTCAGGTCTTTGTACAAGGGAGGCCCAGGACCGCACGAAACCAAGCTAGCATGGAGACGGGGCGACTGTGCCTCCCGAGTAAGGTCGTTGAGAAGCCAGCATGGGAGCGCAAGCAGAGCAGCTGCTTGAGGCTCCCGGACAAGCTGGTGGGACAGCTTGCTACGGGGCCTGAATTTACCCTTCAAAAACTCCACCAACGTAACCCTTCATTCCGCAGAGAAATTAAAGAACATCTTGGCCGTTAGAAACCCCAGTAGACGTGGGCTTTCCAGACACCCATCCTCACCAGACCTACGTGAACGAGAACCACTGACACACAGCTTGGCACGCACTGGCTTGTTGGTTTTCGTAGCTGGCTTACTTGTTGATCAGTGTCTTTAGGGAGCGTGTGAGCGTACTCATAACAGTGGCGACCGTGGCCGACTGGCGAGCTAGCTGCTCCACCGTGTGCTGGTGGCTCAGCGTTCTGGCCGTGGACTCCTCTGCGGCCCGCAGGAGGAAGGTATAGTTTCTCACCACTTCCTCCACCTTGGTCAGCAGCTCTTGGCGCTGGGACTCTGAGCGTACGATGTACGCCAGCCTCACAAATGTCTCGATGAGGCTGCTTAGCACCTGGAAGCTGCTCGTGATGGCGGAGAGCATGTGGGTAGGACTCTTGTCCACAGCTGCCACGCGGCGGCAGGACGCCCGGAACTCCTTGAACTTGAGGGCGAGTTCTTGCTTGTACTCAGCCAGCTGGGAGATGTAAGGTTTGCAGTCTCGGACCTCAGGGCTCACCACACACTGCCTCAGGATAGTCAGGAGCTCGTTGGTGTCCAGCTGCACTTGCAGAAACCCATCCGGTAAGCTGTAGGCCTGGCCTCGAAGGGTGTTGATTTTTGCCAGGCTCCCCTCAAAAGTGGAGGTCCTTAAATCTATTTCCTGGGTTTGACTGCCATTGGGACTGCTGCAGGCTGTTGCATCTAGAACCTGAAGGGTCCTGCTCATGACTGGGACCATCTGATTGTCCAGCTTCATTCCTGGGAGTATCTGCATGGGGATGGAATAGGACAGCTCATCCTTCTCGCTCCCATCATCGGCAACATCACATTTCCTGTAGTAGAAGCAGTATCGGATGGAGCAGCACTTCTCATCCTCCATATCTTCATCCCGCAGCTCAGCAGGACTTGCATACATCTCCTCCTGGACAGAGAATACTGCTGAA